AGAGAGAGAGAGAGAGAGGGAGCGGGAGAGAGAGAGAGAGGAAGCGGGAGAGAGAGAGAGAGAGAGAGAGAGGGAGCGGAAGAGAGAGCGAGAGAGGGAGGGAGCGGGAGAGAGAGAGAGAGAGAGAAAGAGGGAACGAGCTTATACAGGATTCGGAGCCTCGATCCTCGAGGGGTTCTAGGGCTTTGAAGCTCGGGGTTCACATCAAAGACTCCCCGAACCCCATTCTGCGGCTAAAAGCACTGATAAGGGTGCTACGCAAAAACGGCTCTCAACATCGAATCACTGGGTTGCCGGGTCTGACATTCCGACGTGCCCATGTTCTGCGGTGCGTGAAACCAGCAGAGTCAGAAAACGAACTGTAAAAAACATGCTGCCAGGGTTGCTCTCTTCAAGCTGCTCCAAAATCTCACCTGCGTGAGGATGGGAGGCTCAAACGCGGGGCCGAACCTGCACGAGGAAAACGAAACAAGGCAGCATCGTCTTCACGGAGAGTTCTTCCACAATAACTTGCTAACTTGCACCCGGCAACAACAATGACATATGTACAAACAAAGACAGACACAGAGACAGCAAGCCATCCTACGAACGACTCGACGCCCCTGCGAAACCCGCAAGCCTGCCTACGGCCTCCTTGGCTTTGAAGATGACCGCATCGTCCGGATCCGAGCTGGCACGGCGCAGGACCTCACAGATCGAGACTTGGACACGGAGAACGATGACATACTTTGTTGGTTCGTTTTAGTTGCGGTGGCCTCCCTTTGAAATATATGCATCTTGGAGTTTAGAGGACTTTTGCGCGGGCTCACATCAATAGAACCACATAGTTGCATGTTCGGACAACAACTCATGGACGAAAACGATTGCACAACATACCTGTAAGGCATGTTGATAACGTGAGCTGTTATCATCCCAGACTACTGCATTCGGAGACCACTCCATACAGCTTCGGCCAGTACCAAAAGTCTACAGAAATCCTCTAAGCCCAAAATGCGGCGCAGCGTCTCTGTTGAGGCGAGAGGATCGAGGCCGAAAGCTCAGAAAGCTCGGCCCAGAGCCCCAGGTCCCAAGGCAGAGGAGCAGGAGGGTACAGCCATGGCGTTGCATGGCTCTCGCAAAAAGTTTATATTATAGGGGTTTAGGATGTACATGCTTGAGGCTTTGGAGGGTTGGGGTGCAGGGCCAGGGTTTCTTGTTAAGCGTGGCTCTGTCAAGCCCAAAGATTCAACCTGTGGAATGGGGGATTGTAAGGCCGATTAGAGGCTGAGGGTTGCAACGGCAACCTCGCCACAAGCCAGGGCAAGAGAGTGGAGCGAGCGAGGCTGTGCCAACGCTTTCAAGAGGACTACGACAGATTTCGACAGACATCTTCCCGGCACCTTGTGACCCCGACTAGGTAGGGAAAGCCTGCTCAGTTGTCAGGCCACGTTGGGTGTTTCGAGAGATTCATGTTCTGGCCACGTCACCTCTAGCTAGAACCAATATAACACTTCCCTTTGGCAGCAGTTCCCTTACGAGTCTAGTTCAACAGAAAGCTTGACTCCTCGAACAGTCTCGGCTTGGGGCTTCAGAGTTTCCTCAAGTCTTGGGCGTATAGGGTCGCTTCAGGGGCTGTTGGATGCAAGACTCCCAGGCTTACATGTGAGCCGTCTCCCGTGCTGACGTTGTGGTTTCCATCGAAGCGGCAAAAGTTCGTCACAGAGTCACAGAGACCCTGAATTGGCCCGAAATCCTTACGTGCCCTGGCAAAGAGAAGAGCATATATCTTGAAGCTCCACTTAAGAGCCGTGCCTCAAACTCCGACCGCCTGGACTTGTGAGAACTACCCGCGACCCCAAATGTCATCCACAACCCTAAACCCAGGACTCCTTTTTAGCAGGTTAGCACCCCCAGCCACAGTCTTGGGGTAAAAGGGGACATGAACCCAAAGCTCGGAGGTGTGTTGCGGGGACAGCCTTCAAAAGCACCCGAAAGCAAGCACGAGTGTGTACTCTTCGTTTTGCATCGCACTTTGCCACCAAAAAACAGGTCAGGGGTGTCGGTTGTCGAGTCGAGGGATTGCCTCCAAGCTCGTACATGTTTCAACCCTAAACCCTAAACCCTAAAAGGAATCCAGACTGAACCGGCCCTGGCTCCTGCCACTTCTCCGCTGGCTCAGGAAGAGGTCGACAACCAGACAAGCTGCACCTACAGAACATCAAGAGATCTCCGGGGGCCGAAACTTCTTTGAGCCTTGGGGCCTAAAGGCCTTAAGCAAAACTCTACCGGGGGCCTTGGCTATAAGGGTATACTACTTCCAGTTTATTCACATTCCAGGGTGGGGAGGCCTCGGTGGGCCCGGAAGGACAGGGATCCAAGTTTGAGTACGCATACCTCGACACAAGTTTTTGTTCAGATTGTCTTCTTGACAAATAAGTACAGATCCCATTCACACGCACCTTCCGCTTCCCAGTCTTGTAAGGATTTTTCCCGATGATGCTGCTCCCACTGGTCAGCAACAGTGGTGGCAAGCCCTGTCGGAAAGTCAGGATAACAAGCGAGACAAGGCCTGTTCTCACACTCCTCGTTGCTCATAGAATCTCATAGACCAACACTCCATCAGCAAAGCGAAACTTGTCGCTGAAGATGGTGACAAACCGTGGAAATATACTCCCGAAGTAGACTCATCGAGTGATGTGGCTAACTGACTCTGGAATCCCGGATTCCAGGCTCTACGCCCGTTGGGCCGAACACCTGCGAAACAAAGCAGCCCTTGCACCACAACCCAGACTTCCCAAGAGAGCTTGAGCAACGCGAACTTCCGGCACATGCAGTTGCCTGTAAGGCAACATGCCTGCGTTAAGCTTGCGTGATGTTGTGGCCGACGGCACCCCTTCAACCTAAAGCCTTCGACCTCAATCCTGCAAGCATTCTAGCCTTGAGCGCCCCAACTCGCACAAAAAACTGCAAACCAAAGGCACCCTAAAGCCCAACCAAAAATCTCTGAACCCGAATCACAAAATGACAGGCCTCAGAAGCGAGCTGCAGCTCAAGAGTGCTTCGGCCGCGCTACGACCAAGCTGGGGGCAGGCATCTAACCTTCGTATCACTCGGTTTTGGGAGTACTTCCTTTTTACTAACCTCGATCCTCATTCCTAGAGTCGACGCACAAGACAGGTTCGTATGGGTTCTAACGACGTGTAGGGTGTCTGTAGCGGAGTGAATCGGAGATTAGGCATCTCCCGACTGAAACATCTCAAACGAGGCACAATGTTGGGCTCGTCCCGACGTTTAACTTTCGTGCAAGACTCGTGCCAAGTAACGACAACCTTTGCCGCTCGCGCGCCACGGTGTTCCGAAAGAGATGTTCTCGTAACAGTCCACAGCATGGCTCCATACCGAGAAAGACTGACGAATGCTAGGCACAGCTTGCCAACAACATAACAAACCCACCAACTTTGGACTGGCAAAATCAATCCCTCCCAAGATCTCCAGGTCTTCTTGGAATCAGCTGCAACATAATATGCCCGGAGGCTCTTTAAGGCTCCACAGACCCATGTCCTAGCTTATCCCTTACAACCCACACTTCATACAGTTCGCTGAAGCCCCGCCTTCAAGCCCCAATCCCAACCGAAAAACGCACACAGTACCCCTGAAATACCTGGTTAACACCAAAAGCTGAAGTCGAAACCCTGACCCTATGAGGCCCGAACTCCAGACCTGCCCCGAGGGAAGTTCTTTGATCCCCTAAGTTTAAGTCCCTGTTGAATTCGACAGGTGCCTCCAAGATTCCTGTTTTCATGTGTATGCAAACACGTTCCGAAACAGAGCCTTTGTTTAAGCGGACCTCTTCCCAAACCTCATCGTGAAGCCCTGAAAGCCAAACTTTCCCCGTACCCAGACCTCGAAATTCAACCCGTATTATACACCTTGAACCCTAAACCCCAAGCCCTAACCTAGAAGCCTAACTCTTTTACCCGACGCCGAAATCCTTGCAAGAAATCCTACAAACCAACTTAATCCTCCAGGTCATGCTGGGCAGCTGCAGCGAGCGGAGTCGTGGGCCGCCCTCGACCACCTGCCGCCGAAGGCGTCTTGCGTGGGCATGCGCGGTCATGCTTAGGGCCTTGAGCTAGGTAATACAGGGGCCTTACTGATGATTCGAATCGGGAGACTTTGGATGTTCTATATCAAACTTATAGTAATGAACCCTCAGGAATACTGTTCTGATTGGAGTGTCAAGGCCGCTATATTAAGTCTCATTTTAGACACTGGGGCAAGGATGCCACGAGAGAGAGGAGAAGCTAGGTAAACGGAAGAGGTTTGTGGTGCATCCACGGCGTTCCTCTGGGCTGGCATAGGGCTTGAATGCTCTGGCCGTATGTCGCAGGGTGTACGGTTCGGGGTGCGGCTTGCTCTGGAGTCTCCCTTCGTGTGCGATTGACTTCCTGCGCCTGGTTCTGGCTTGCTGGCTATACCGTTCGTGTTCGTGGAAAACGTCTATCATATATCCCGAACTAAGGGATCAATAAAGCATCTTATGGAAGATCCATGGCCTGGCATGGCAGAGCATTAACGGCAATTCGAAGTCGCCAGGCCTGCTACTGCTCCTGCTGAAACTTATCGTCGCACGCACTGCTGCCATCTTGCAGCCCAGTCACGTGCGCAGCAAAGTCAACGACCTCGGTGCGTTCCGATTTCTGAACCCTACACCCTAAATATATTAAGATTCGACTTCAAGACCTCGAGCTTCAGGCCAACTTTAGGCTTCTCTGTCCGCCCAAAGTGAGCGTTAGAACAAGAAGCTGGCGATGAAGCTTAACATCTCCTGTACCTTCGTTTAAAAGTCCTAACGTTACTCTAATGAATCCCTCAGACATTCATGTCGAAGCTCTCTATCCCGGAACCCGAATCAATCGAAAGTTGAAAGTTCGCGCCACGCATGCTCCCGTGAAGTAATTATTACGAGAATATATGACCTCTGCAGATTCAGATTCGAAACTTTCTTGTCGGTGGCACCAAAAACCCTAATTTCCAAACCACAACCCTCAACAACAAACCCTGAAGCCCAAGGCCCTAGCGGCCCAAAAGCCTACGTTGGTATGCCATGCACAAGCTAGTATCATCAAGAATAGTATTCATAGTAAGAACAATGACTTTAAATCATATATATGTCATAGAAATGGAAATAATGGTAACTATGATTCACGTTTGCCTCGGCTGAGCTCTGCGCGCCTGCTTCGGTCAGCTGGCGGCCTCACTGCGGGCTTCTTAGGCTCGGGAGTCGCAGGGGTTTAGCCGAACCCTACCAAGCAAACTAAGGCTCAGCTACTGGATGGGCTTCGGGTTGTAAGATTTCGTTGTTGGGGCTTAAGGTTGGGCGAATAGGATCCGCAGCAGCAGCGGACGGTGTAGGGGTTCAAGGTTGCGGGGCATTAGGGCTTGTATGGTGTAGGGCTTTTAGGGCTTCAGGATGTCAGTTTGAGGTTCAGCGTGCAGATCCGAAACAACTCCAGCGAACAAGTCATTGTCAACAGCAAAGGGGAAGAGTAGGGCCAGCGACGAGAGTGGGATCAACTGCTTGCAGTCCAGATTTCTTGTACCTAAAAACAATGAGTGTACTGAAGATATCCAAGGCGCAACCACAAAGATCCAGATGGCGCAGTCCAGATCCGCCACAAAGCTCCTTCAGCGCTCGGTCCGTGAGGCCTGAAGACACTTTCAAACAAAGGGGGAAGCGCGATAAGGGCAAGCACCTTCTTCAAAGGCAAGAGCCCGAAGCTGGTTCCGACGCACCCCCAAACATCCCCTACGTCAAGGCGGGCCAAACCCGTTTAAACGGTTGAAAACCTTCCAAGTGACCAACGTCGGCCCCGGCAGTTCTAGGCTAGGTCTCGGGCGTATAGATGTGAGCACTCCTTACAAAAAGATTCTCGAGCAACCCTTGCATAACAGCAGCCAGCTGCAGCAGCTACTCAGCATTTGTAGGACGACACCCACAACAAGCGAAGAAAGATCCCAATCAGACTTATAATCCTTGAAACTCCCCAAACCATGCAACCTTGAAGCTTCTGAACCCCAGAACACGATAGCTCAGGGCGGAACCTGCAGCCAAGGCAAGTGAGAGGCTCGAGAGATGCAGAAGCCTCAGGGCTTGCTGCTCGGCCACTCGGTCTCATATTAAGAGAAAGAACACTTTGGGTTTCGGGCTTGGGGTTTAGGCTCAGGGTTCGCAGTGCGTCGACGTGAAATTCAAGGCAAGCAGACAGGGCCAAATCCACAGCAAATCAACGCGAGCCCTTACACAACATGTGCCACATGGGGTTTTTCAAGCACGTCCATGCATGTCCGATGGGAGTCGATTCTTGTGAAAATCACCCGGCATGCAGAAGTTTCTGCAAACGCCGGGAGCTGCATTATGTCAAGCAGCTGAGACTCGCAAACGCTCAAAGCCGTGCTGTTTCAACGCCTCAAGCTTCCCCCACAAGCCTGCTTGCCGTCCAGGGTATCCTTTAGGGTTTCTGAGTTTATGGTTCAGGTCATAGGGAGTTTAGGTGTTTAAGTGCTGTATAGGAACAGCAGGAACAGTAGCCTGCTACATAGGCAACCGGGATTCTAGGGCCCTGCCAGTCGACGAGATGTTCAACTTCCCACGCTAGATCGCCAGGAAATTGTAGGGCTGTTCCAGTCAGGCTCCGGGGGAGCCCTCACACTGGAGATCCTTGCTAGGGAAAACCACAGCCACCATATAGCATTCAAGAAATCAAGCCTTGTGCTTGAACCCACTAGTGTGTCCTGTGGCGTGCCTCCTTCAACACCATCCTGAGGACTATAATCCACCCTACCTTGGACTGTCGCAACCGGCACTTTGCAGTGTCTCAATTGGACAACCAAAACAATGTTCATATGTAAGATTAAACCCGGAGACCGAACGCAGCAAAGATGGAGAACGAGGAGGCATACCGTGCTCGGCCGTCCATGGCCGAACAGCTGGCTAAAAGTCATATAGTGCAGAAATCCAGCGCCAAACACAAGGGACTCATAGATCCTATAAAACCTTTCGACATCAAACTTTAGTTGTCCAGTCCACCGTCCGTGTAAGGCACGGACTTAAACGAGGATTCTGCATCCAAGACAACAGCTTCCGGAGATTCTCCTTGAGGCCTAACGTAGGGGCCTCTTCATAATTAGAATACAGGAATTTGTCAGTCTAGGTTTTCTGTGGCTTTAATAGGTATCTCGGGGCATTTAAAATTCAGATAAGGGTCTGGCAGGTGACTGTGATACAGGATAGTAAAACTGCATGCAGGGGCTGTACGGGGATATCACTACTCTCTGTTTCTCTCTCTCTCTCTCTCTATATATATATATATACGTATATCGATAGATTGTATCAGACCTGCATGGTATCATTAGTAACACCCTCGAATCTCGCGAGGCTTCTTCGAAAGTCTTGCACGGAATTCACATCTGGCGGCAGGGCCCGCAAGCTGCGCTCTGCTGTGAGACTCGGTCGAGCCACTCCAAGATGTGCTGTGCGGAGGGGCGCCGGCCGGCATCAACATGCCATGCCGGTGCCATGAGAGGTCGCAAGCGCGAACTGCAATCGGCAACCAGTGGTCGAGGCTCGCGACCTGCTTGAAACTCAATGAGAATCCTTTCTGGGTCGCGTCCCAGTTGATAGAAGGGCGCACGCCCGGAGTTCATGAAGTACATGATCAGGCCGAGGGCGTAGATGTCAACTTTCTCATCATAGCTCTGATGCCTCACAACCTCCGGAGCCATGTATCGCCAGCTTCCGACACCTCCTGTCATGTTGTAAGCATCGCTGAGTGCAAGCATCCGGCTGATCCCGAAGTCGGAAACCTTGACCTCCTGGTGTTTGCTCAGCAAGAGGTTCATTGGCTTCAGGTCCCGGTGCACCATCTTCCGGGAATGGAGGAATCAAAGCGCCCTGGCTACCGCCGAGCTCCAGTCAAAGACCCTCTCGAGGCGAGGACTCCAAACGGCACACTCACGCCTCTTCCTTTGTGCATAGTAGCTCTCCAGGTCACCACCAGGCATGAACTCGGTGACACACATGATGGGTAGCTGCGGGTCCAAGCATGCCCCAATGAACATGACGGTATCGGGATGCCTCATCGATGACAGAATGTCGATCTCGTGCAGCGACTCAGCGGCAATCTGCATGGTGTCCCCGTCCGCCCCATCCTCTGATTTGATCCGAGTCCACCAAATGTGCCAGCATGGAGCATGGCTAGGCCGGCGTGCTCGTCGTGAAATTGACCACCACTTCTGTGCCCTGCCAGGTTGCACGGTAAAGGGTGCTCTTCAGCGTCCTGCTGAGCTCATGTTGAAGCTGAAGGTCCTGCGGACGGAGCATCCAATGAGATTCCTGGCCTCGAGGCGACAAAATGGAATGCTGCTCCGCGCAGCTCTTTGCAGTGCAGAAACTGGTCCAGGACTTCATAGCAGACATAGCTAGCTCCTCTGCATCATCATCGGCGCTCTCGGTGTGCTTTGCCTTCACGAACGTCTCCTCATCGAATGGGCCATACGCCGATCGATTGCTGTGCACCGCCATCGCGAGGGGTTAGTGGACTTTCTGGAAGCAAGAACATGTTCCTCGAGCCTTGGGCCGTAGCCAGGGTTTCATGTTTGGGGATCGGCTCAATGAAGTGCTTGTTTCGCAGCGGTAGAGCTGTGACCTCCATTACATTTCGCCCTACCTTGCACTCAGACACAATTTTGGTTCTGACCTCCGGCATGCTCCAGACAACACTTATAACCCAAAGGACCCAAAAAGTGTTCCAGATTTTCGGAGTTTCGGCACCGCTCGCCCCGTGTCTGATACAGCTGAGTCGCGAGGAGATGTAAGTCACTGCGTCGTCCGATAGACGCGGAGCCTGTCAGTTCCACTTCGGGGATACGACGTACGAAGCAGGCTTTCAGCCTAGCGGTGCAATTACTCTGATATCTTGTCCTGAGGATGTCCCTGAGGTCCAAAGCTTAACAAAATTTAGTGCTAGTAGTGAAGTAGATCCCCGCATCACCGCCGCTCTCATTTCTTCTGCAAATTCGACTCGGTCCCGGCCGTCATCAGAGGTTCCCACAAAAATGCCCCTGTTTCCCCACTTCGTAATCCCCTCCCCAGTGACCCACCCCCTCCCCGCCCTCCCCTCCCTTAAAATTGGATCTGCTGGCGAAGACTTGGCTTGCCGGGAGCAACCCCGCGCGCTCCGCGCCCGCCCCCCCGTTCCCTTTTCCCTCGCGTCTTTTTGCGGCGGGCGAAGCAAGGCAGGCGAGGCTACATCATTCGTCAAGTTGATGCCAAAGCTTGGGAATTGTGGGGTACTTTGTTGCACAACTTTCTGCCGCATTCCCCGCGACTCAACCTCCCATAATATGGGAGGTTGTCGTGAGAAGTGTATAATACGATTTCTATGGTAATGTCTATAGGATTATTCAGGGAATGTGCCGCCTATCACGTGGGATTATTGCCCGTGCCTCAGATGAAAACAAATACTGACATTAAAAACATTCTGAAGCAAGTGCACTCCTTCGCGCAAGACATCACCTGTGTGACCTACTTGTTGCTTTCCGAAACAATGCACCCGTTTCAGGCACAGCCGGGCCGAAGCGGACGACGCGAAGCGTTTCAAAGTATTCTTTGCGGTAAGAGGCAGTGTGCAACAGGTATTTTAGGTGTCTAGCTACGGATGTGATGTCGTGATCTGCGCTCTGCTAGATGGCAGCTGGAAGCCGACAAAAAGTTTCAGGGCATGCTTGCAACACGTGCCACGTCAACAGATGAGGCGCCACAAGCGCCACTTTCAAGCAGGCTTTGGCCTACAAGGTCTCCTTAACTCTACATCGCTCAGGGTCGCGATGTCGGTGAGCCACGGCATCCGTTTCTGCGGGCTTTCCGCAGCACACTATTACTAGATGTTGTCACTTGCCTGGTGCATACCAATTTTTACGGGCGTCCAGTTTGGGCTCTGCGGCAGGCCTGTCGCAACCACAGCGTGCGCAGTCGAGGACACTGGACCTTGGGTTCAGAACTCTACCCGAAGCCCTGAGCTTTATCTTTTAGTGGCTTCGGGATCTTGGTTCAAGAAGGCCGACGAGGGTTGCCAAAAAGCGCCAGCCGGAACTGTGCTGAGACTCAGAGGGGTGCAAGTAAACACGGGCATGAAAACAATTAAAGAAAAGGTTTACAATCTCACAACTCGGACAAGCCAGGCGAGATCCATAGGTGTAAAAGGTCGGTGTGACACTGACAAGCTTCCATTAAAGAAAAGGTTTAGGGTTTGTGTCTTCGGGCATCCATCCATCCATCCAGCTAGCCAACCAGCCATCCACCCACACACTCATGGCCCGCATACGTACATACAACTAGCACACGTGTGCATGTTTCTGTCTGCCGAAGTACGTACTCATGCATTTGTGCACCAAAGAACGTGCAGGCACGCCTACTAACAACCACGACCTCCACAACAGCAACCCACAACAATAGCTCCTCACTCAAACACCTGGAGCAGACTTCTTATCCCACAGCACGTTCGTCCATGGTCAACAAAACATGCTCCATAAGGGTCTCTGTGATTCTCTTATACCCCCGACAAGGTGCCCGAACTTAACCTTCCTGCCCTGAGCCTCGCGGCTGTCAGCATCTGCACCCCGGAGTCCTAGGTCAAGAAGTCTTGATGGTGCCGTTTAGTGAGGTCTTGGATTTGTTGATGATTATGTTGAACCTCGCGCTGTGTTCAGAGCTTCTGCAGGCCCTGGCCTCATGTCCACAAGCAAGAACCCCGCTTAGAATATTTCGGTCTTGACAAAGTCAAAATCTTAGACCCATTATTTTTCTTCTCTGGTCGCTCGCTCTCGCTCGCGCTCTCTCGCTGCTTTCGCCAGCACTATGGTGGAGGGCTGTGGCCCGTTGTGGCCCTCCACAGTGCGCGAATGCGTCCCCGACAGTTGCGGGTGCCAAGCATTTCCGCCGCACATCAACCAAGGCATGGACCCCCGAAAAAAACAATTCCAAGCAAAGCGAACACAAACTGAAGTATGATCACTGCCTTCTTTGCAAGCAGATGATAGCTGTGAGAAAGGAAGAAAGGAAGAGTCAACTGGCAGAGAGGCCACTCCCCCTTGAACCGCTCATGACTTGAGTCAAAATGGCTACGGCTCTCTCTCTCTCTCTCTCTCTGCTTTGCTTTGCTCAGGGGCGAGGAAGGCTGTCTGTCTCTCTCTCTCTCTTTCTATCTATCGATCCATTTAGCGATCTATCTATACATTTATTTTTCTATCTATCCATGTATATTTTGTATATACTTATACACGTTCTTATTTGATATGCACATGTATAAAAAAATATATATAAACACATACAGAATGGTACGCTGTCCTGTGCTTCTCTAGGAAGTTTGGAAAGATGCTGATGAGAAGTAGGGGAAGAAGGTCAATGAGAACATTCGCAGAAGCCTAGGGCCCGGGGCGTTCCACTCTCCACTTATGTGTGTGTGTGTGTGTGCGTCTGTATGTGCACATACATATGTGCGTGGCTATGTATGCACAGAAATTGAACACCTCTGCATGATATCCTCAGCTCTTCAGCCTTGAAGAAAAGGAAACGGCGTAAATCCACTTGAATCTAAACCGATGGAAGGTGTGATTTCTACTGCTAGCCTGCTAGTCCCCCACACAAGGGCACCCCCTAACCAGAAACTCACCAATACTCCGAGCGAGCCTACAGTAAGTTCTGCCTCCGTCGAACGTTTCAGACAGTAAGTTCCCCCGAACACCGATGCCGACTTTTGGAAGCCTGAATAGGACCTCCAAGATGAGGCATCTCTGAAATTTCAGAACCCCTCATGTGGATAAGGCAAAAGACCTCCAGAAAGGGCCAGCTGTCAACTCGAAGATCACGGAGGCGCGCGCAGCGGAGGCCGGAACACCAGCCTCGTGCGAGCCATTTCGAGGCCCTTCGGGCTCCAAAAGCTTTTGCAGGGCTTAATATACGGCTTTGGGGTATATTATACGACACTCATAATAAGGAACCCCCAAANNCCCAAAACAGTATTGGTAGTTATTTACGGCCCCTAAATTGAGGGCTTCCCACGAATTTCAGCGCTTCTGGGTTTCCAAAGACTCCGACTGTGCTCGGACAGCTTTGGAGATTAGGGCTTCATGCCGAGAGTATGGTTTCGGCGCCCGCATTTCAGGGTTTCGGGGCATCAGCTGTGTGCTGCGTTTGGGGTGTCGGCTTGAGGCCGGGTGCAACTTGAGTACAGCGCCGTAATGTAGCAGTGCCTGTAGTAGGATGAGAGACCGTAGGGGGAATCTCGTACTAATTGTTCTTCATTAATCCGCAACGCAACCCCGGGCTTGTGCAGCCCTCGGGCCTACCAGTTAAACATCTCGTGAGACACCAGCTAAACATCTCAAACATCACGAAGCCCTGAACCCAATTGGTACAAATCCAAGTTGCGATTCGTGCCCGGGACCCCAAGCTTGCGCTCCGACCTCAGCTGCAAGAAGCTCGCACCGCACAGCTGGAGCTCACGGTTTGGAGTTGAGGGTTTTCCGCCACAGCACGTCAGGTCCTGGAGTCAGACAGGCGAACAGGCCAAGGCAATGTGACATGTAGCCATCAGTGTGCAGTGCCAAAGCAAGGACGAACTGCAGAGTTTAGAGTAAACCCTCAAAAAGTTGGAAAACGCATTTAGGACAATTAGTGATGCAAAATTAGTTCAGCTCGGGAGCTGTGAAGGATGCTCTAATATAGAGGCCTTAATCATTTGAATAGGTTTTGGGGTATATTTTTTAGGAACCATAAAAGGATTCGGTCGAATGCCAACTATCCCGCCACATATACCATGTTTGGGGGGGTGTTGAAAGATTTCGGGATACTGCTAGTGGGATCTCTATTAAATTTATTAGAGCTGTGCATGAAGGAAAATAGTATCGCATAAATCGGGGAAACATAAGACTACGGAGCTTGAACAACGTCACGGCACTGTCCTTTAACTTGAACCCTTGCCACAAAATTGAAGCAAAGCCCCTGTTAACCTCTCCACCCTCGCACCTTTACATCCACAGGTCAGAGGCAGCTTCAAACTCGACTGCCAAAGCTCATAGTCCCAATCTAAACTCGCAAAAATAATGCAATGCTTTAGTCGCAAAATTCCCGCTTGCAGGTATACCAGCATAGCTCTGTTTAGCGCTCACGCCGAAGAAGCCCAGCCCGAAGATCTGAATCCTAGCACCGCAGCCCCCCGCCCAAGCCAACCCAAGCACCGGGCGCACCGATGACCAAGGATGGAAGCCGGACCGACTCGAGCCCTTTGACAGATGGGAGGATGCAGGTGAGTCACAGCTTTCTAGGCTTTTGGAGTAGTAGGGTTGAGGCGGAAGGCATTTACTAAAGACGAGCTCTAAACACATCTCGTGAGCGGAAGACACACAAGCACCTGTTCATCTGTGCATATATATATATATATATACACACAGGTATGTTGATGTATGCATGTTTGGTATGCAGGCATGTGTGTGTGTGCATACACGCAGACATGCCTGCAATTGCCGCGCGCCTTGTAAACCGACGTACTGCAATGTGACGATGTGACACACTGTGATGTGATGCAATCAAAGATAGCACACGGTATTCTAAGTTGTAGTGTAGTAAGGTAAGGCATTTCAGGAAAGGCGAGGAAGGTGAGGTCAAGTACGGCAAGTCATGCAATGTAATGTAATTTTGTCAGTTCAGCGTATTGAATTGACTGTGTTGTATGTCCAACCGTCTGAATGTATGTCTGTCTGCTTGTCCGTGTCTCTGTCCGTGTCTGTCTGTCTGTGTGTGTGTGTGTCTGTAGTATGCGTTTATGTATGTTTGTATGCATGTATGCATGCATGCATGCATGCATGCATGCATGCATGCATGTATGTATGTATGTATGTATGTATGTGTGTATGTATGTATGTATGTCTTTCGCGTGTAGGTATGCATGCATGTAAGTCGGGCGGTAAGTAGGTGGGTGGGTAGGTAGGCAGGCAGCAGGCAGGTAGGTCACTGGGCAGCTATGCAGCTAGGTAGGCAGCTCGGTAGGTGCTGTGCACATATAAGCATGCAGGCATGCAGTGCATGTGTGTATGCGTGTATGTTTGACGAATCCGTGTTGCATGCACGCCTGCATTTTCGCGCATGTGACGGATGGGGTGGATGCGTGAACTCGTGTATTCCTGTAATGCATGTAATGCATGTGTATGCATGCATGCATGAATGCATGAAGGTGCCTAAATTTGTGCGTGCGTGTGTATGCGAATGTACGTATGTGTGTGTAGAGTGATGCATGCATGTATGTATGTATGTATGTATGTATGTATGTATGTATGCCAATGTATGCATGCATGGGTCTATGCATCCATGTACCTATATATATACCCATTTATTCATGTCTCTTATGTCTCTGTGTCTCTATGTATGTATGCAAAAGTATATGTATATGTATATGTATATGTATATGTATATGTATATGTATATGTGTTTGTATTTGTATTTGTATTTGTATTTGTATTTGTATTTGTATATGTATGTATGTATGCATGTATGTATGTACATATGTGTGATCTGTGCGTGGGTGTAAATGTGGCAACACGATTTGTACCCGCATACATATAGATATCTCGGTGTGTGTGTGTGTGTGTGTGTGTGTCTGTGCGTGCCCACTTGATCAAGACTCATACATGCCATCTTGTGTTGCACATAGTATGTGTAGACGTGTTAGTAGCGTCGAAGGTTGTGCTGCATAGGGCTTAGTTCTGCGGCCTTTCCTGGCACACTTCTCCATCTGCGGGCCTTGATTTTAAGAGGATTAGCCGATTTCGGCGCTGTGCTCCAACAATGCAACTACATTGCACTGCGACGGGGCAACTGAACGACGATTGACGCCGCTCGCTGTTAAAGGCATGGTCCCGCGAGCTCAAATTCCTGGCGCACTTTGCATCGCCGAGGCTGTACAAAGAGCCGCACTGCCATCGATCAAATTCTCTGTACCGCATCCCTGTAGTAAGGATAAGCTGACAGACTGTACATCATGCACGCCCGCGCATGGAAACTTCGGATCTTAGCCCGGCATGCGAGACGCAACCGGCCTCAGGGTTCGTATCCCTGAAGAAGGCTGTAAAAGACCTGCCATGACTGCGCTTTGGTAGCTTGACAAGCTTCCGGAGTCTAGGAAGAATCAAAATCATGGCAAAATTATCCGGGCTTACAACTTACCGGCCTGTGCTGTGTATAGTGTGAAGCCAAGACCTAGGCAACGTTGAAACCTACGGGACAACCCCACGTAACCCCATCACAGGCACAGCCACCTCCTGGTGGCCAACCAGCCTAGCAGGAAGCGATTTCCTTCTCCTCTACGGACATGTCCTTCTCCTCTACAGCAGCCACATAGCCGAAGAAGGGCTGGCTCCTCCGCACCGTCGGTCGGGATGCATGCTGACAAGTTCGTGCTCCCCGGCGGTTTTGAAGCAAAATTAGCCGGCTAGCACTGTCATACATTCATCAACTTCTCGTGTCCTCCTATGACCCAGCGTGAGGAAGCCTTTTTTGTGTAGCACGACACCCAGCAAGACGCTGGCTATACCTGCGGAAAGCTTAGCAACAACTCAAGGGCTTGGGAAATTCTTCGGTTGGAGAGACATATGTCTAGCATTCAGAGCGGCGGCCCTAAATCGTTGGTGCTGCCGCATGTCAAGCAGCACAGTTGGTAGGCACAGCCCTGGAATCTTGCTCCATATACCTTACACTTACACCGGTGACCAATAAACCCGAGCTCCGTACACCCTGAATGACGGTGGTGCTCAAAAATCTCGGTTCCAGGGTGCTGATCGCGCCAGTCGCTGCCCAGTAGATTCCCGGGGCCCAGTGAGGGGAGATGTTCTGCCTTGGATTTTGGAGTCGAGTTTGGGGGATCAGTTGGATCTTCGTTTACAGTCCTGTGGTATCATAATCGAGATTCAAGCTCCAACAGTACGGCTCAGGCTTAACAGAACATTCGTCTAGTTCTAGGCTCCGGACACCTTTATAATAGTACTCCAAAACTCTACAAGTAAGGTTTCGTGATTGGTAGAGTGTTTCTGTGAACCCTGAGCCGTACGCAAAATCTAAATCTACACCACTATCCCGTACGAAGTGCCCAACCTCACTGAGATCTTGCGAGTTCGGGCCTTCGGGCTTCTAGGGCTGATGTTAGCGCTAAAGAGCAGGATGGAAATTCGGCCTGGTGCAGTATAGGGCCCTTGATGATGAGGCGGGGCATGTTGCAGGAATACAATGTCGGCATGAAGACTGGAACAGCAAGGACTTCGCAATCTGTTACAGATACAATCAAGGCACATGATGAGACCCGTCAGGTGCCAGTCTATACCATCAAGATTGGTCACCAGTATCATTGCAAGCGGTGTTGCAGTTTCAAAGCTGCTCAATCCATCAAAACCCTCGAAACCCATAAACCAGAAGAAATGAAGGCCATCCAGTAGAGATTGCGTTGCAAATGCTCACAGAGCATACCTGGCTGTGTTGGGCAGAGACAGAGCTTGGAA